GTCTCTTTCAGCCTGTGGTGGTCCTGCAGGCTGTCATTTTTGTTTTCTATGGTAATTAAGTCTTGGCACAGCGCAGTTTCCTGTGGAATTGCTGCTATCTGATGTTCTCCTCCTGCTTAGGTCAGATTGAGCATGCTATGTTGCAGTAGTAACCATGCATCGTAGTCTGTTTTCTAAATTTCTGGAGCTGGGTACTAGAACAAGAAAAGATTTAGTTAGCTCACAGTTTTGGAGGGTAAGTCTAAGAATTGGCAATTTCAGTTGTTTTCCCCCAGATAAGAGCCCTTTTGGCTGAGACACCTCAAGGCAGAGCAGCAGAAAGGGAGCAGTCGTGTGCTCAGTGCAATCACATGTCTAGAAAGGTCACAGGAGGGTTTCTGGAGCTTGGCTCACTCTGTGTAACAACTAAGTCTCATGGAAACCAAGCACTCATGCAGTCCCATGAGAGCTACAGGAATCCTTCCTGAATGTGTGCCTCCAGTGACCTAACCACCTCCCAGGACGAGGCCTCCACTGCTTCTAGGCTCTGTCACCTCTTTGGTAGCATTATTGAACCCTGAGGGCCAAACCACAACACTGGGGTAAGCACATCTCATCGGTGTCACACCAAGACTGTAAATGGAGGTTGTGCTGTTCCCACTTGACCACAGTGATGACCATTCATAAAGCTTCATTTAATAAGATGAAGAAAGAATATGAAGCTAGGGAGGTGTGACAAGAGTTGAAAGCAGATTTATGTAGTTTCCTTGCTTTCTTGGACATGGGCCCTGATTTAGGCTCAATGACAATGAAGTAGACCCCCATAGTAATCCCTGGCTTATCATTGCTGGCCTTTGCTCCCTGCTAATTATTTTTCTATTTTTAAAAAATTTATTATTCTGTGATATAGTTCCATAGGCTCCAAGATTTCCCTTCTCCCCCTTCCCAAGTCTCTGCCCCCGCCCCCCAATTTCCCCCATATCATTACAATAGTATAGTCCTTCATAATCAATTGTAAGTCCGTCATTCTGCTATTTAAGCGTATCCTGACACTGCAGGCATGGACAATGGCAGAGCCCAGCATCCTATTGTCAAGATACATTCAACAGTTTCTGTTTTCCTAATTTTTAATCAGGCCTTTCTCTGGCACAGGTCTCTTTATTTTGATCATATTCAATTATGTAATCATATTCTTATTGCATTATGGCTGTGAGTAGAAAAGTACTTTGCCAAGACTAAGTTTCCACAGAGCCTCTCCAGCCTTCTTTCTGACAGTATGTACTGGAAAGCTAAAATCATTCATTCTTACTTTCTACTTTCAGCAAGGTTCCTGCAGCACAAATTCTTAAGAGCTGATCCTGCTGAGACAGAACTTTGTCATCTTGAAGTGGGGTGGGCTTTGTAACTGCTTAGACCAACAGGGCACGGTGGAAGTAACAACAAGCCTAGGTCCTGAAAGATGATGCAGCCTCTACTGAAAATACTCCTGACATTCACAACTGCTATATAGTAGCCTGGCTACTCTGAGGCCACTCTACTAGCAGGAATAGCAAGCTGGCCCCCAAGGAAATCAGGCCGATTCTGAGATGGCAAGTGGGATGCTGAACATCCTCCAGTGCTTTGTCACCCCATCTCCTGTAATTACGGCTCTATCAATGAACTAAATCCTCAAATAACTAATTTGAGTGATGTTCTTACATCACTCAAACATTACATCCCTCTTCTGCTTTCTCACTTTCTTCTAAAGGGATATATGATTCTTTTTATACTTGGTCTCAAAAATGAAATGGTTCAATGATTAAGATACAAGACTTAGGCACAGGGAATGTACCTATTAGGTTGTTCTATCTGAACGCACAGACGGAAAGTTCTGTCATTTCCAGAACTTTCCTTTTGTTGCTGTGTGCAATGAAATCTTTGTCCACAGAAAGGTGGTCTTCTAACAGCAAAAGCTCAGAATCTCAACAAAAGTAGAGCAATCTTAAGCTAGTGTGATGGCAAGGCCTTGGCCCTGGGACTCAGAAGCGTCTTTGGGTTTCTGCCTCTCCAGTTTGGTTATTCAGAGGACATCACCATTCCTCTGAGTCTCTGGCATTTCTCTTGGAACTTGGAGCAACATCTGTCTTGTCACTGCCACCAGACTGACAGGATTACATGTGAAAGTATATCTGAAAACATTTTGTAAACTCTGTCACGGTAATCATAAGAGATTGTTAGTCATCAGCTTTCATTTTCCCATCTGCAAGTGGGAGTAACATAATACGCTGTTCCCTTACTCTCACCAAAACACTACTATAAATATCTGTAATAATATAGTCATTCGGATTGGCATAGAGGAGGGTGGAATAGGCTAAGGGAAATGCATGGTATCTGACAAATATGTTGCGGTTACTATGTATATGCACTGTATGTAGAGATTGGGGTTCTGCATTCAAGCAGCTTGCTCTCGATGGGGTGTTACAGATATGTGGAGGGTCTCTTTCAAGGCAGTTTACTCAGTTAAATCAGTAACCAAAGTATGCCTAAGTTATAGATGATGGCAATATTATAACATGGAGGTAAAGATCACAGGCTGTTATTGACATCTGTATTGGTTAATTTTAGAAGTCAATTTGGATGAAGTCCAGTCTACAAGTGTGGAAAAGTGTTATAGTAAATATTTGTGCAGGTGTAAGGGGGTCGAGCATGTAAATCTGAGCAGCTTTGCTGGGGGAAGATTGACTGTCAACATGGGCAAACAGCATCCAATCAACTAAAGGGCTTGGAGAAAACACAGCTGCTGAACTGGTGACCCTCCCCACCCACCCCCAAAGCCGGGACATGCTCATTGCTCTCACCCCATGGACATCAGAACTCCAGGACTTGGACCAGTGCCCTCCTCCGTGGGCATTTGGCTTTCAGCCTTGAACTTAAGAGGTACATTATTAGTGTTTTTTTTTTTTTCCTGAGACCTTTGGATTCCTGCCAAGCCATGAGACAGCACCCCGGGGTCTTATCTCACAGACAACCCTTTTTGGGACTTCTCAGCTGTCCTACTCACATGATCTAATTACATATATATAACCACACAATCACATGCCTAATTATACATATAACATACTTTATATATATTGCATATATAATATTGCTTTTTTTGAAAATGCTGATAAATATGAAGTATGGTAGAAATTAGTGGATGAACGGCAGGAATGGGAGGGAGGTAACAACTGTATATGTTGGGCAGAAATGGACATCTTATTGAAAACACTACTTTCACAAATTTTAAGGAGAAATTAACTCATTAGGAGTCTTACCAAGATGCAGATTCTAATCCAGCAGGTTCAGGGTGGGTAGTTTCCATCTCCTTACTGTTGAACTCGACTGCCACCTACTGTTCATGTGGTAAGGATACATTGCTTTCTCCACACACAACTCCTTACTAGCGGATTTTTGCTTTGCTCAGGTTGTAAGGGCTTACCATGCTTTGAGGTTCGACTTCCATTTGGTGTAATAATTAGTTTCTGATAATTATAATAGTCCAGGAGACAGATAATTTCCCCCTCACTGGCAAAAGCTTTTTGGCTTTATATAATATTGGACATTTTGAATTTAAACATCATGGTCTTTTTAGAAGCTGTTTTCAGGAAAACTAAAAACGTCTGTGTAATTACTAGGGAGTTTTTCTCCCAACTCTAGCAAATATTGGATATCTAGATCACATTGCATTCAGACAGAGTATAAACCTTACTCCTCTTTTAAGGCATTTTTTCTTTTTTAAATTTCACATAATTTTCTTGTGTAAAACTTTCTGTGAGTCTTCATTCTGTAAATTCTACAACTGGTACTTGTTTTAATGAATTACATAAAGGAAGACAAAGAATCCCTCACTATTTGCTCTTATTTTTTCTTGCGAAGACAAATGCAATAAACTGTATCCCAGGAATTGAAAAAAAACCCTTATGATGTATTTTAAGAAGGGAACTTCAAGAACAAAAAGAAAAAGGGTCAAGAGTTAACTGATTTGAGGCTTGTGAACACAAACGCTTTTTGCCAATTCACTGTTCTTTGATACTACAGAGCCAGGATTTCAAAGACTGAAGAAGTAACAGCAAACCTAGATTCAAACACAAAATGGTGTACTTAAAGGGGGAAGGGCGAGCAAGGTTTTCCTATGTAATTTAGGTAGCTATGAACAAAGCGCAGGTGGATTTAATGAGGGAGATGTGCGGTGCTTGACCAACACACCAATGTCTTGGGTATAATCAGGTATAAATGGGTATGATTGGCTATAGATGAACTGGGTGGCTTCCAGTGTGTCTACTGCATTTATATCCCCTCAGGTCCCTCAGATATTTGCTGCTTTTTTTGTACAAGGTCACCACCATTGTGGTTACTCTCCTAGGGTCAGGTGCCGGTCAGGCAGCCCTTCTTGACTGCAGGCTTCTTATTCACGGATTCAATCCCGTATCTGAACGCTCTTTATGGCAACTGCATGAACATCGCCACTATTTATCCAATCGCTCTAAGAACCTTTGGATGGGATAGTACGCGCGAGAGGGCAGGGACCTGTTGTCCCATCTTCCGGACTCTTTTTCTCATAAGGAATAGCTGGAGAGGGTGGGAAAGTAAAGAAAACCTTTCTCCACGTAGGAACGCAAATCTTCGGGTCCGTCTGTGTTTTCCGAAGCGTGTCAATCGGACCTATGAGGAGAACCAACTTCCGGTATGACTTTCTCGGGTTCCGGTGCTTCCGCCCGTAGTTGCTGGGGACGAACAGCTACTTCCGCCAGGAGTTCCTAGCGGCTTGGAAACCGGCTCTCCAACGGCCGCCTCCTTGTCCACCGGGCGCTCAGCTGGTGGAGGCGACTGTTAGGGCCCGGGCGAGTCCTGGTCCGGGTTGACGAGGAAGTGCGGGGCACACGCGGGGGCAGGCCCCGTCCCCGCGGCTGGCCTCGCCGCGCCGCCCCCAGTCTGGGGCGGAGTCCGGCCTCCCCGCCCCGTCCCCGCCCCTCCGGCCAGTGCAGGGCCGGGTCCTCGCGGCTCTGCGGAGGAGCTACCTGCCCACACCGCCGGGCGCCGCAGTCTCGGGGCTCCTGCCAGGCTGTGAGGCATGGAGTTCGCGGAGCTCATCAAGACCCCGCGAGTGGACAACGTGGTGCTGCACCGGCCTTTCTACCCGGCCGTCGAGGGGACCCTGTGTCTCACTGGCCACCACCTGATTCTGTCCTCCCGGCAGGACAACACCGAGGAGCTGTGGCTTCTTCATTCAAACATCGACGCCATTGACAAGCGGTGAGTGTCCGTTGGGCGGAGAGCCGGGGTCCTGCCGTGGCCGCCGCGGGAAGGCTGCCCGTCGCCCAAGCAGCCGGCTCAGAGTCCTGTCTGGCCTAGATGCAGGATTTGAGCTTTTGGAAGCACAGAGCTATCCCCATGGGATTCCTAGCTTCTACTGGATCTGGGCGGAGGGCTCTGGGGTATTTGTCAACCTGATGGTCCTTGTTGGTACTCAACATCCTCTGAATAGATAGTGTTTTCTCCTTCATTTCCTCGATTCCTTATTGGTTGTCAGTCACAGCTGGTGAAATTGTGATTGGATGTGTCTGAGGTCAACATCCTTTTCATTTTGGAGGAAAACTCAAAGAACTGAAGGCAGCTTTGAAGATTTCCATGCTGTGAAGTCCTTGTGATCATGTCTGACTTCTCGGGTCACCAGTTGAACGTAACACGAACGAGGTGATACTGTCTTCATGTTTACTCGGTTCAGGTTTTGAGAAAAAAAAGGGGGGCATTGGCTCTGAAGGAATGAACTAATTAGCAGCCACCTCCCTCCTCTTGCGATCCAGGCTGATATTCTAAGAAAGTTACACTTGGGCGGCATCAAAATCCCCCTCTCTAGTGGCTCTGTGTACTCTAGCGAGAAGGCAAATTTGTCACCCAGTTGATGACGGAAGTGTAAGTGGAGGGTAGATTTTTCTGTAACCTCACAGCAGAACACGGCTATGAAGATTCCTGTGGAAACTTATTTCTGGTTTGGGGGGAGGGGTAGGCAGTGGTAGACAGCTTTAACTCATTCAAGCAGAGATTTCCCCTAGATCGCTCAAATCACCTTTCCCTGTGTATATTTTAGTGGTCTGGTGGCTTGCATTTGAGGCAGTCCATGTTCTGGCCCTAATGTGTTCACCTCTGGTCCTCCCAGCCTTTTTTGAAGCCGCTGTTTCCTCTCCTGCACCCTTTCTTGCTGCTGCTCAGTCCTCTCTGTCTCTTGCTGCCCAGTTGTGTCGTGCATTACTCACCTTTTCCTTCTGCCGGAGTGCATTGCTCCTCCTGTTTGTTAAATATAAACCCAATGACTTTATGCCACAGTCAGTTTGTAAAGCATTAAGGGCACCAGGATAAATAAAATGTAGTTCTTTCAGAAATTAGTAGATCGCCTTCCAACTGTTAATCTATCATGCAGTTTAGCCAGATCCAGTCTTTTGTTAGTCTGTTGATTACTAGAAGTAATTCCCCATCACCTGGAAATTCTGTAGCTCTTCATTTATATTAAGTATATTCAAATTTATAATTTTTAGGAAGACTTAAAAATTTTTATTGGAGAGACAGAATTAGGAGAGACCCAGAGATCTTCCAACTGCTGCTTCACTCCCCAAGTGGCCAGAGCTGGGCTGGCTTGAAGCTGGGAGACAGGAACTTTTTCCAGGTCTCATGAGGGTGCAGAGACCCAAGGACTTGCCAGTCTAGGCTGCTTTCCCAGGCCACAAGCGGGCAGCTGGGTCACAAATGGAGCAGCTGTGCCGGGCCAAAGTTGATTTTAATGATTATCTATCTATTGACTCTTTGCATCAAATGGAAGCATTAACTTCATTTTTTAAGATTTATTTTTATTGCAAAGTCAGATATACAGAGAGGAGGAGAGATAGAGAGGAAGATCTTCCATCCGATGATTCACTCCCCAAGTGACCACAACAGCCGGTGCTGCACCGATCCGAAGCCAGGATCCAGGAACTTTCTCCAGGTCTCCCATGCTGTTGCAGGGTTGCAAGGCTTTGGGCCATTCTCGCCTGCTTTCCCAGGCAACAAGCAGGGAGCTGGATGGGAAGTGGAGCTGCCGAGATTAGAACCGGCGCCCATATGGGATCCCAGCATGTTCAAGGAGAAGACTTTAACTGCTAGGCCGTTGCGCTGGGCCCTTGATTCATTTTTATCTGCTTCATAATTCGTATCTGTGGCTTAGACACATGGGCACATAGGAAATAAAAAAATTGGCTACTGACTGTCATTGGTGCCTTGGAATACAAATCAGCTGTAACTTTTCTCTTGGATTGGCTTTTTTTGTATTACTTTTCTAATTTCTTAATGTTTGCTTAGTATTTGGTGCTAGGCTTCACGAGGGCATAGTTTGTGGATCTTTTAATACATATAGAGGAACGACAAACTCTGTAGATGGGTGGAGGATCTTTCTTCCTAAACATTTGTCTTTCCAATAAAAACAAAAAATTTTAAAGACTTTTTACTGGAAAGTCAGATTTATACAGAGAAGGAGAGATAGACAGAGATCTTCCATCTGCTGATTCACTCTGCAAGTGACTTCAACAGCCATAGCTGAGCAAGTTCAAGGCCAGGAGCTTCTTCCGGGTCTCCCATGCAAGTGCAGATCTCAAGGCTTTAGCCCATGCTGTACTGCTTTCCCAGGCCAAAACCGGGAGCTGGATAGGAAATGGAGCAGCTGGGATTAGAACTGGGATTAGATCCCACCTATATGGGATCCTATTATGTGCAAGGTGAGAACTTTAGCCACTAGGCTACTCCGGATCAGGAACAGGTTTGACATACACAGCAAATAGCAAGGAAGACAGGTGTGAGTGGAATGCAGTGATAAGCGTGTGAGGGACTGATGAAATGGTAGGGTAGAAGGTGGTTGGAGGGATATAAGTAGAGTCTAGATCTTGGAGAGCATTATAGGCCACTGTATGGTTTTCATGGGAAGTAATAACTGATACTTTCAAAAAAATTGATCAGGGCTGGTGTGGTAGCACAGTAGGCTAACCCTCCATTTTCAAGAACCGGCATCCCACATGGGTGCTGGTTCATGTACCAGTTGCTCCACTTCCATCCAGCTCCCTGGTTATGGCCTGGGAAAGCAGCAGATGATGGGCCAAAGCTTGCAGGGGACAACTGGAAGAGCTTCTGGTTTTGGGATGCAGTTAGTTCCAGCTGTTGTAGCCAGTTGAGGAGTAAACCAGTGAATGAAAAATCTCTGTTTCTTCCTATCTCTGTAAACTTGACTTTTTTTCCCCCCAGATTTATTTATTTTTATTGGAAAGGCAAACCAGATTTATGGAGAAGAGAGATAGAAAGATCCTTCATCTGATTTTTATTGGAAAGGCAAACCAGATTTACGGAGAGGAGAGACAGAAAGATCCTCTCCATTTGCTGGCTCACTCTCTAGTTGACCACAACAGCCAGAGCTGAGCCAATTTAAAGCTAGGAGCCTGGAGCTTCTCCCGGGTCTCCCACATGGGTGCAGCGTTCTAAGGCTTTGAGCCATCTTGTATTGCATCTTGGGCCATAAGCAGGCAGCTGGAAGGGACATGGGATAGCTGAGACATGAACTGGTGCCCACATGGGATGTTGGAACATAGAAGGTGAGGATTTAGCTATTGAGCCATAGCACCAGGCACAAAATAAATCTTTTGAAAAAGTTGATCTTACTTTGAAAGACAGTAATAGATCTTTGATCTGCTGATCCACTCTCCAAATTCCTGCAGCAGCCAGGGCTAGGCCAGGCCAGTGCCAAACCAGAGCCCTGAAACTCCATCTGGGTTTCCCCTGTGGAGGCAGCAACTGGGGTACTTGAACTATCACCACTACCTCCAAGAGTGCACATTAGCAGCAAGCTGGTGGATGAGTTAGGACGGATTATCTTAACTACAATTGCCTGCTCTAGCTGATACTTTTTTTTTGTTAAAATTTATTTTCATTGGAAAGGCAGATGTACTGAGAGGAGATACAGAAAGATTTCCATCCTCTAGTTCACTCCCCAAATGGCCACAGTGGCTGGAACTGAGCCAATGTGAAACCAAGAGCCAGGAGCTTCTTCTGGGGCTCCCATGCAAATACAGGATCCCAAAGACTTGGGGTGTCCTCCACTGTTTTCTTAGGCCACAAGCAGGGAGCTGGATGGTACACGGAGCAGCCGGGATACAAAACAGCATCTATGTGGGATCCCAGCACTTGAAGGTGAAAGATTAGCCAATTCAGTCATTGCTCCGGTCCCCCCAACTGATAGATTTTTTTAAAGGATGAGTTTTGGCTGTCAGTAAATGGATTATAGAAGGCAAGAGTAGGAGCAGTAGACTGAGAGGAGACCAAGTAGCTCAGATGAAGGATGAGGGCAGCCACGTACGGTTTAGATGTTGTGCCCTCCTAGGCTCCTTTGAGGCATGGTCTCCAGGGTAGTGATCCTGGGAGGTGATGTGGAATCTATAAGAGGTGGGTCTAATGTGGAAGGTTTCTTGGGTGGATATGGGCCATGTCCTTGAAAAAGCCTTGGAGTCTGTTTGCTTCTCTAGGTAGAACAGTTACCAAAACCCCACCCCCGCTCCCTCTGGCTTCCTGTAATGAGATCTGATCTCTTGCCATTGCCTTCACTACAGTGTGACAAAATTAAACCAGTACTAACACTGTGCCCTTGAACCTCCAAAACTGAGCTTAGCATTGAATCGTCAACGTTATCATTGTTTGAAAAACAGAGATGGAGGTGCTCCATTTGCTGATTTACTCCTTAAATGCCCACAGCTGTGGGGCTGGCCCAAGCTAAAGCCAGGAATCAGTCCAGGTGCCCTGCATGGGTGTCAGGGACCCAGATGCTTGAGCCATCACCTGCTATCTCCCAGAGAGTACATTGGTGTGAAGCTGGAATGTAAGCAGAGCCAGGGCTGAGTCCAGGTCCCCTGGGGTGGGACGTGGGTGTCTCATGTGCTGTCTTAACTACTGCCCTAAGCGCCCATTCTCAACTCCTGATCTGTTAGTGGAAGCAATAAAGTGGTCACAAGCAGGCAGGTTTGGGATATGTTTTGAAGGGTAGGCTGCCGTGCCTTGCTGGGAATTGTAAATAGGGAAAGGAGGAAGTCAGTGAGGATGACTCCTTGAATTGTGCCTCTTAGTAGTAGAAAGGTGTCCTTAGGCAAACTGTTTAACCTTCCCAATCCACAGTTGGATCCCACCTGGGGAAGACAGCCCCTCTCAGATCATAAATTAGTTTGTATTTGAATAATGCTGTAAAAGTCTAC